AGAACTATGACTCTTATCTGAATTCAAACAGAGCTAAGGATGTTTTATCTTGTCATATTTGGCATCTCACATGTCCCTGCCTTTTCCTTTTATAGTAGATTTCTCTGATCAAAGCAAGTGGTCAGTAAAAGACATGAGCACAGTATAAGTATGTGAGATCTTGCTGTTTTGATCTGAATTGGTAGTCATCCCATTGCCTAAGTAAGAGTAAAATCAGTGTTTGAATTTATCATATGTACAAGATTCAATTTCTGAAGTATAATTAGAAAAGGATAAACAAGTTTGTGGAACAAAATTGTGTATCTATTCAGTTGTGAGGTTAAAGTTAGGAACCTCTTTTGTTTAAGGCAGTTTTTGCAAGAAACCCCCTCCCTAATGTAACCACTTCAGAGGTCTTTGCCACCCCTTTCGTACTGGCCACTCCTTTATGGGAAAATTTTTCTATCACAACGCCCTGTTTCTCAATGGGGAATTATTCTCTTGCTTGGGAGGCAAGCTCTATGACCACTGTACAGGTAAAGACCCCTGTCAGGGGAGGGATTTTAAATGTCTCTGCTGGTCTCTTGACTTGTACCACCTGTAAGGGTGATGAGTGTCCCCAGAACTTTACTAGAGAAAGTAACCTGGATGTGAGACATCCATGAAAACCTTAGTATGTTCCTTTTACCTCTTTTTGGCCCTTGTCTGCTTAATCTCCTTGCCGGATTTGTCTCCTCCAGGCTTAGTGCTCTCCACTTCCAGATGACTGCTCAGGCTGCATGCCAACCTCTGTCTGAGACCACAATGCATCACCCCTTGGACCTGGAATCTGCCAAGTTCCAGACACTGGCTAAAGCACCAACCCCTTGAATGGAGGGACCCCGAAAAACCGGGACAGCTCTACATCCATTTACCCACAGATTGGACAGGGAATTGTTCCATCGGGCTTGTCCAACCAAAGCTTTTCTTTTTGTCAGGGCAGATGGGAGGTTTCTTAGGAGTAAAGTTTTGGACAGAAGTAGGAGTATTGATACCTCCATGACCAGTGCAGGTGATGCTAATGGATGGGGAGACACTTGGCCCCCTGAAAGAATAATTAAGACATCTGGTCTAACTACTTGGGCCTAGGATGGTAGTTGGGGGTATAGGACCCCCATACATATATATGTATGTATATATATATATATGTGTGTATATATATATATATATATATATATCCTCAACAGATTAATTAGATTATTTGCTGGCTGAAAAAGGTGGGGTTTGTGGGAAATTGAATCTCTCCACCTGTTGTATGAAGATAGATGATAATGGCCGCATTGTGAAAAATATAGCGGACAATATCAGGAAGATTGCTCATGTCCCCATCCAAACTTGGTCCAGCCTCTTTAAAACTTCTTGGTGGTCTTGGTTTGGAGGAAGTTGGTGGAAACAAATTCTGTGGTTTGTGCTAATTGCCATTAGTAGCATAATATTACTCCCTGTGTGCCTCCCCTGTGTGATGCAGCTAATTACCCAAACTGTTCAAGAAGCCCTGTCTCAGATGATCAGATTAGAAGGGAAGGCTGAAGGGTCACTATGACTGATGATTTTAAAAGGTCAGGGGTGGACCCCAGTCGACCCTGAAGGTCAAAACGAGCCTGAGGGCAGAGAAGACAATCTGATGGAAGAGGCCTATCAAGAATAGTGTGAGGAGGCTTCAAATAGTAGAAAAGAAGAGGAGGGATTGTGAGAGATGATCTCTGAGAATCTCTCAGGAATGAAGCCTCCTCAGGGAGTTAATTGCTTCTTGTTCTGTTGAGACACTTGCAACTGGTTGACCTCATGAAGAAACATGCTTTTCAACTTTATCAGCCCTCCTCCTCCCTCTCTAAAACGATTTACTCTAAAAAGTACAACTTACCTGTCTCCAGGTAAGTTGTAAAAAGAGTCCTTGTTCTTTATTGCTGGGGTAGATTGCCTCGAATAGATTGTACCCTCAGAGCTTGCATTAATGAGCCCTGAAGAGGGGGCTGGGAAAGGAGACTGAGCTAGGACCTATATAACCTGTTGATCTGAACACACCTCTGCTCTCTTGGGTCAGCGCCAATTTTTTGGTGGTCTGAGGGAGCCCTTTCTCGAGAAAGCTAATAAATGAATTTTTCTTTTAGCTAATATCTCTGAGTCTCCGATTCATTGGTAAGGATCTCCGTACCCCGCACAGTTTGGGGACTCGTCCGGGGTTACACCCCACCCCCTTTGGGGACCTCCCCAGCCTAAATTCGGGGGCAGGAGCCACGCCAGACTTTTCTGGTGGCCTCCAAGTTCTGGCTGGTTTGGGACTCTCCCCTGGGGAGGGGATAGCCCAAAGGGAAATCTCAGAGTAGCAAAAAGAAAACTCTGCAGCACCGGTAATCAGAAGACCACCGCGGCCACCCGTGTGAAGTGAAGGAAATTTTTAGTCACATAAGTTTGTGCGCACAGACCCAGGTAAGCGGACCGGGAGGGCTCGGAACCTAAGCGGGGAGGCCCGTAAGGTGTCGCAAGCCCGGAACGGCAACCCTCTGGGTAACCGGGTTCCCCGGAGTCTAAGCGGAGAGGTCCGTAAGACGTCCGAGGGAACTTAAGTCTCGTCAGGGGAGGCAGACGAGCCTGCCTAGACTCTTTGAGTCGGTAAAGCAGCCATCCAAGGAGGATGGGGAAATCTAATTCAAAATCGGGTGGAGACAAGGAAAAGTCACCAGATATGCTGGTTGATAGTCCCTTGGGATCTAGACTTAGTAATTGGGAATGAACTTCCAAAATATAGGGAACAGATTGAGTAATTGAGTGCACTATCAAAACAAACAAAAAAAAGGACAAGAAAATATAAACAGGATTTGTTTTGTGACTTTGTTTCTGTCTGTAGAGCGAGTGTCTGTGTAATCAGCCCTATAAGTTGTAAAAACCCTAGCCAGCAAGGTTAGCTTCTAAGAGCTGCAGCTGGATTTATTGCTTGGAAAAATGTTTTCTTTCTTTCTCTCCCCCTCTCCCTCCCTGATAACAGCAGCCTCAGAGAAGTGGGTGGATGGGAGAGAGAAAGAGAGACAAATACTTTATTATTTAGGATGATTGGTAAAAGGCAAGTCGAGAAGGATCTTTGAAGGGTCAGGTCAGAATTAGAAAGAAATTAAGATATGTGCAGTTTTAAAGGGACTTTAATCAAAGTCCATCAGAAGGAAAGGCGAGAAAGTTTAAGCATGTAGGAATGAAAGGAGTCTGGGTAGAAAGAAAAGTATGAGCTATTTGCATGAACAGTGTGAACAGAGGGTTTGAAAGTAAAAGGTTTGAAAGCTTTAGGAAAAGGTTGGGGGAAAAAAATTCTCTCTCTCTCTCTCTCTCTCTCTCTCTCTCTCTCT